GAGAGATGGAAATATGTCACCTAAAGTCATTAATGTTTTGGTGTCGGGCCTGTCTTTAGGATTTGGCTGTAAAAGTAAATTTAATAGGGCTTGCATCTGTTTTCCATATCTTTTAATATTAATTGACTTCAATTTTCCATTAGCAATTGATAGTACAACGTTAGAAATCTGAAACAGAATAGAATTTAAAATATTATCTTAAAGCAAAATTGATCTTAATATACAGTTCCTTCAAACATTTTTTCCATTTGACAAAGCTCATATAAAATGCATCCTAATGCCCAAATATCACTTTTAGTGTCATAAGGTTTTCCATCACATAATTCAGGAGCAACATAATTATAAGTACCAATAATAGTTCTTGCTTTATTATTACTGCAAGATATATAAGTTTAGCATCAGAAATAAGTAGAGAAAAAAGTTTAACATCAAAAGGTAATCACCAGGTTAGTGGTTATACTTACTTGTAAAGTAATTTTGAAATACCAAAGTCACCAATTTTTATTACATCCTGATGAATACCAGTCAAAAATATATTTTCACATTTTAAATCTCTATGGATAATACCTTTTTCATGTATATGGTTTAACCCCATAAGTATTTGACAAAAAAAGTTTATTACAGTCTAAGATAAAATAATTTTAGATATGAATCAATAAAACTATTCAAATTTCAAATAGGTACTTACCTGGGGAGATAAATATTCTGGTATTTTTTTGGCAATGTATTCTTGTAAACATCCATGTTCAGCATATTCCATCACAATATAAAACGCGCAATTCTTAACGTAACTATCATGGTAGGCTATAACATTAGGATGGTCAAGTGATTTCAAAATTGATACTTCATTTTTGGCATTTCTTAAATCGTCTGCATTTAGATCCGTAACCATTTCTTTAATCACTAATTTTTGCTTGTTATGTTTTCTTTGGCATAAATATATAGTCCTACAATTTATTTTAATATTTATAATTTTAACTACTAAATAAATACCTTTAAAAATATACCCAAAGGTCCCTCTGCCAAGTTTTTGAAGCACGTCGTACATATCCATTATAAATCTTTAATATACGCGCTTTTGGGTAGAATACACGATACAGTATCTAAAAGTGTTTCTCTAAACTGTTTACAGATGTTTTATACATCAATATTTTTTTATATTTTTTGTCTTGTATAAATAAGTACTAAAGGTTATCATAGACGTTTTGTTTAGCAGTTTTGCTACAATTTTATTATTAAATAGTTTTCCTCCCAACTGTAAGTCAATTATAGTAACTATTTGTTATGTATTTTCTTGATTTTTTCAATAACATGTATTATCTATCATAATAGATGTAACTCTGTAGATAGAAACTATATATTGATAATATATTGTTTCCCTATATTTATAATATATATATACAGGGTGTTTCAAATAACATGTGCCATCTCGCGTGGAGAGAGTTTTGTAAGATCTAAGGATTCCTCACACCAAAATAAGATTTATTTTTCATATCAACATAGGTCCGATTGGGCTTTGTTTTGTAGTTACAGGGTGTTAAAGTCTTAATATTTTTTCTATTATAATTTTCTTCCAATATTAAATAAAATAATACGACCAAATGAAATTTTGAGGGTAAAAGTTACTATAAATGCGACATATTTTAATGCTAAAAAGGTACCCACAGATTCATCACGGACATGCATATGGGTCATCACTGAAATATTTTCCAAAAAAAACCATGTCCGCCACTGACTTTTTTCTTTTGATAGCAAAATTGTATAGGCCGTTTAATGCCAATTAAAAGTCGTATCTTGTTATTTTGTCGATTTCGATCTCCTTGATGAGATAAACGCAATTTTATTAATCACATATATTAATAAAATTAACAAATTATTTATTTTATCTAATTTATTATTAAATATTATTACTATTAGTTATTTCTATTCGTTCAACCTACAGCAAATTCAAATAAAAAATAATGGAATTTAAGATAATTAGAAAAGACCTAATTTTAAAATGTTTTAACATCCTGTAATTTTAAAACTATGCATTTCCATACCCAACTTTTTTTCATATTTTTTGATCAGGAATCAATGAGTACTTATTTAAAACTTTCGCAAGTTAATGATATTAAATTTTTTTAAAGGTTGCTATTAGACTGGGACCAAAGCAAATTAATAAAATTGCGTTTATCTCATCAAAAGTGACAAAATATCAAGAGACAACTTTTAATCGGCATTAAACGGCTTACACTATTTCGCTAACAAGAGAAAAAAGTTAATGGCGTACATACTTTTTTTAGTAAAAATATTCCAGTGATAACCCCGTCCCTGGTATAATTTCCACACTTTTTAGCATTAAAATATGTCGCGTTTACAGTAACTTTTACCCTGAAATTTTCATTGAAATCACTAAAAGTACTTGGAAGAAAATTATAATAAATTGAAAAAAAAAGACATTAACAACCTGTAGCTATGGAACAAAGCCGAATCGGACCTATGTTTATATGAAAATTAAATCTTATTTTTACGTGAGGAATCTCCCCATGAGAGATCGTACATGTTTTTTTGAAACACCCTGTATTGTTTCTCATGTAATTTATCATATTTAAAATTAAATTATTGCCTGTTTAGATGTACACTTGTTTTGTTTACATCAAACGTAAATTAAATGCCAAGAAAGTGTACTTTTAGTATTTACTCCTACAGTCATATTCGAGCGGGTAAAATTCTCAAAAATGAACGTCGGTGAGAGTCTTTAGTGTTTCCAATTCTCAGTTGTTCGCATTTTAAAAACTTTTTATAAGATGTTCATATATAATTATCAACAGAATGTATAAATGGTAACGTAGAAACTAAAACTGAGTACTTGCAGATACTTGTTAAAAATTCACGGTATAGGTGTTCTATATTATTTTTAACGCCGATAATATAGGTTTTATTTATGAGTATATTTCATTTATTTATTGGCTTTAGGATTAGGCTCTTATTATTCACAATTGTATATTTTTAATTACTGTTTACAAAGCAGCTACGCAGCTACCATATTTTGCTATTTTGCATTTAAAAAAGTTTTTCGACAAGACTAGACTATGACATTCTATAAATCCTTCTTATATCTTAATAAATGCTATTGAAATACTCGGATAAACTGTTTTGTCGTATAATAATCAGATTGCTAACCAATAATATTAGATGGTTTCAACAGCACTACTCCGTTTTTTTCTCTAAACTGCTGCCCGCAGCCTCGTTTGGAAAAGGTTCCAAACATAGTCCTGTTTCTGCTGAATTGGTACAAAAATCGTACTACATATTTTCATTTTTCAACTTCCTATTCAGAGTGTGTATTCGGCGTCTACTGGTAGTCCCATTCTTTGCATTTGAAATCTAAGTCTGCACTGTGTCTTGTATGTTGTTTATACATGCACAATTATTATTCTTTCATGCGCTGCGTTTAACAGTCTTCTGGTTTTAAATGAATTTAGATCCTTATCAGTTTTTTTTCTGATCAGCAATAGAACAAGTGTGCTCCTTCATACTTAAAGTCTGTCTACCGAAAAGATAATTGACAGTGACAGTTGTTGCTTCTCTGCCATTTTTGGATGGCATTTATGATATGCCTATGAAGGCCATATAAAGACTAGAATGTTTTAGGCATAGTTTTAGGGTTGGCGAGGTTAATAAAAATACTTTATTTCTAAATCACAAGAAGGCACTTTAATTTTATTTATTTACATATTTCCAAAAAGTAAAAAAAAAATAGCTTGTTAATGTTATAACTAAGGCAATATTGTATTTCTAAGGAAATTTCTCTATAGAAGGATAACTAATGCAATATTGTATTTTCTCTATAAAGGTCGTAATAATAAGAGGGTATAATTAAAGAATCAGAACTGAACACACTTAATTTCGTGAACTCACTAAAATTTCTACAGTTGATTCTACCTGATATGTTGTAAAGTCTGTAAGGACTGAAATAAAACTTTTTGATTCCCTTCGTAACACGAATTCAGCCGACATTTATTAATACGGTATTTAGAGTAGAATTAACATAATTTATTACGTAATGTTATTCGTTTTATAATCGTATCACTTATACTCATGTCCTTAAAACAATACTGCCAGCTGAAATAAAGAAGAAATAGTATTATTTATTTAACCAAGAGAATAACTAATATGAGTATATGTTAAAAGAGAATTAAATTAAGTTCTTTTTGAAGTCTTATGTTATGGAATGTATACCGTGCTGGCAACTGTTACTTTTGGGTCGATATTTACATGTGCGGAAGTAAATCACATGGGGATCTTATTAAGTCGAAGTGAGAGAAATACGACGGTGTGCTGTTGCGTTGTTGCCAGTACGCCTTTCCCGATCAAGTAAAGTAAAACCACGATCGCCAACCGCTTATTTTTAAGACTTTTTTTTCGAAAAGGTAACTAGATAAAATCATTAGATATGTTTCTGAGTATCTGAAATGGAATTATAAGGATATCGTTAGGGTGTCCATTTTTTTTATGACGAGAAAACGTAATCGCGAGGATTTAAAAACTCAACTTTTTTACACATAACATGCCATAACTTAAGAACCACTTTAGATATTGAAGCTTTTTTTTATTTTGAAGATCGGATCATTTACAATATGTTTACATAAGAAAAATTCGATAAGGTTGTTTTTTTCTATTCTAAAATTTAAAGAACCCATTCATTTACTTTTAGTGCATAGTGCATAACAGTTTTCAGCGATCGTGTAACTTTTTTATTTATAAAGATTTTTACATACTGTCTGCGAAAAAAGTTTTTGAAAAACTACAATCAATTATTTCTAATAGATTTCGATTTTTGAATTCAGAGTTCTAATAGCGCGACCACTGTCGAACACCAACTCAATTCCACTTATTTTTACCAAAAATGCAAGTGTTTCTAACTTGTATTTAAAAATTTTCAAGCTATAAGGAAAATTACGACTCGTTAATAAATAAACAAAAAGTATCACGAGACGTAGTTAAATTGTGAAGCTGAACGCATGATGTACACTTTTCCCTAGAACTTTAAGTACTGACAGAGGTACTGATTGGGTCAACCGGTCGACTGCGATAAATCTGCTGTATCCCCTTCCACGCCTCTCCAGCAATTTGCACATTTCTCGGTTTACTTCATATGTTTGGCAACGTGTTTACTGTTCCCTCCTTGTTCAGTACATTATAAATGCATTGTACTCTTCTTACATACGGAAATCTCGACCCAAGACTAACCTTTGCCAGCCCTTAGTATGTGAGTAGTTTTAAAGAAATAAAATCTGTTATGAGGCTAATAAGGCATTCTTGGTGGGTTTGTTTGTTGATATGAACATTAAATTTTTTTAAAGGTTGCTATTAGACTGGGACCAAAGCAAATTAATAAAATTGCGTTTATCTCATCAAAAGTGACAAAATATCAAGAGACAACTTTTAATCGGCATTAAACGGCTTACACTATTTCGCTAACAAGAGAAAAAAGTTAATGGCGTACATACTTTTTTAGTAAAATATTCCAGTGATAACCCCGTCCCTGGTATAATTTCCACACTTTTTTAGCATTAAAATATGTCGCGTTTACAGTAACTTTTACCCTGAAATTTTCATTGAAATCACTAAAAGTACTTGGAAGAAAATTATAATAAATTGAAAAAAAGACATTAACAACCTGTAGCTATGGAACAAAGCCGAATCGGACCTATGTTTATATGAAAATTAAATCTTATTTTTACGTGAGGAATCTCCCCCATGAGAGATCGTACATGTTTTTTGAAACACCCTGTATTGTTTCTCATGTAATTTATCATATTTAAAATTAAATTATTGCCTGTTTAGATGTACGCACTTGTTTTGTTTACATCAAACGTAAATTAAATGCCAAGAAAGTGTACTTTTTAGTATTTACTCCTACAGTCATATTCGGAGCAGGGTAAAATTCTCAAAATGAACGTCGGTGAGAGTCTTTAGTGTTTCCAATTCTCAGTTGTTCGCATTTTAAAAACTTTTTATAAGATGTTCATATATAATTATCAACAGAATGTATAAATGGTAACGTAGAAACTAAAACTGAGTACTTGCAGATACTTGTTAAAAATTCACGGTATAGGTGTTCTATATTATTTTAACGCCGATAATATAGGTTTTATTTATGAGTATATTTCATTTATTTATTGGCTTTAGGATTAGGCTCTTATTATTCACAATTGTATATTTTTAATTACTGTTTACAAAGCAGCTACGCAACTACCATATTTTGCTATTTTGCATTTAAAAAGTTTTTCGACAAGACTAGACTATGACATTCTATAAATCCTTCTTTATATCTTAATAAATGCTATTGAAATACTCGGATAAACTGTTTTTTGTCGTATAATAATCAGATTGCTAACCAATAATATATTAGATGGTTTCAACAGCACTACTCGTTTTTTTTTCTCTAAACTGCTTGCCCGCAGCCTCGTTTGGAAAAGGTTC